GTCACCGCCCCGCAGTGTCACCGCCCCGCAGTGTCACCGCCCCGGCTGTGTCACCGCCCCGCAGTGTCACCGCCCCACAGTGTCACCGCCCCGCAGTGTCACCGCCCCACAGTGCCACCGCCCCTCAGTGTCACCGCCCCGCAGTGTCACCGCCCCGCCTGTGCCGCGGCCTGCCTGGGTGACACCGCGGGACCAGCTGCTTTCTCGGCACTTTAAATGTACAGCACCCGAGAGGCGAAACTTTCATCACTGCTCCTTACCCTACTATTGTGATTTATCAGCAAAAGGCTTTGGTGGATGAGCTGGCAAGACGGAGTAATCTTCCTCAGTAAATGCGACTTTTCTCTGTACAGTTAGAGATGTATGACAAATCAGTTTAATTCCATTTCCCCCTCTTAAAAGCTCTTGATCTCGAAATCAGTTTCCAAGCTAAGGAGAAAAAAAACGCCATAACAAGCATCGGCAGTTTCTCCTCCCCAGATAATGGATCGCTCAATTGCAAATCTGTGTTCTACACTATTCACTTGGACAACCTCCTTGGCACACAGTGAGGAAGGTACCTTTTCTGACATAGCAGGATTATCAGCATTAATAAAGAGATAAAATACTTAATTCGTTCATCCTCCGTCTGAACTGGTGTTCTCATGTCTCTTACAGATTCAACTGTTTTCAGGAAAACATGAAAAGATCCTTTCCTTTCAGTGTTCCCCACTGACATTTCTACTCAGATGCATTCTTCCCCATCTTTGTGCTGTTCTAGCACCAATCTGTTATTTTAACTTTAGGGCATATAAGTTCATGACGCTAGAAAAATATGTAAGTTAATACCCTTCTTGACTATTTTGATTTGAAAAATGAACGCTAAGAAAGGATGGGGGATAGTTAACCACTGGGCCCAAGAGTTTATAAACAAGTAGAACTATCCTTCTCTCAGACTGAATTACCTCAGAGATTACATATCTCTGAGTTTTTGCTTTAAAGGTGAGTGCTACAGACAAAAACTACATAAATAATGGTTTGCCCAACAATTTAAAAGGGGTTCTGAACCTTTAAAACCATTAAAAAGGGGAGGGGAGGTGAGCTGCCCTCCTTTAAAAGGTTGAGGGTTTTTTTCAGATATTATTGTCAAAACATCAGATTTTTTTAAGAAAGTGAATAGTTTTTTACTTTATTAATACTGTACAGACTGCAACTAGTTCTGCATATGCCAGTGTTAAAAGAAAAAAATTACTTGCCAGAAGACTAAATGAAGTTAATCAGTTTAAAGCACAATGGTTAAATTATGAAACAAAATGATCTAAGTAGTTTTTACAGCTTATTTTATCCCTTGTGCAAGGTGACAACTACTGTGTCAGAAGAACTGGTTCCCATAAGTTGGTATCTTTTTGTGGGTTTCTGGGGTGTAACCTGTGAGTGAAGATGGCAATGCAGCTTGCAAAGATGCATTCTGTCTTCAGCCTTTCAGCTACTCTAAGTCTTAGAAGAAAGAGTTTTTACAAGCCACAACCATTCAAAGTGGATTTTTCCATCACCACCAGCTCTGTGTGATTTCTCCTTAAAGGTTTGTACAAGGAAAACTGCCTGGAGGATCTGCATTAAAGTATTTTAAAACATTTTTTGTTCTTAGCCTACTCTTGGTTTCTATTTATTGGGTTTTTCTCAAACATGGTTTTCTTTCTTCTTCTTTCTTTCTTCTATGTCTGCAGCCAAAGGAAACTATTCAAATTTTGCTGTGTCATTTCATATTAGCCAGAATTGTCTTAAATGGCAAAGTAAACAAAACTGAAACAAAAATTCAGACACTGATCTATGAAGAGGTACTACACATACACATTTGTCTTATGAGCAACAAGTGACTCAAAATGGTGAAAAATGCCTTTGCTGATTCCACAACTATTTGTATAAAAAATGAAATAGCAATACAAAAACCTATCCAACTACATCACACAATTCATTATCTGTACACAATACTCAGACATTTAATTTTAAATAAAATCTTTAAAAAGATTTTGAGTGGGTTGGTTGTTCATGTGAACTTCAGTGAAATGTCATGCCATATATGAAACTTTCAAACAAACTTCTCTATGTAGGCAATTCAAATAAGTTCCCCCCACTGAGAGTTGTGTTTATGTTACAGTGAAGTCCTCTACTCTGATTTTTCCCAAGCTGTGAAAAGCAGGGCCCTGGTTTAGTTTTCACATACATCCTGAAACACCACAAGCTCCATTTGTTCACACAACTGTTTGAAACTTGTTTGGTCAGTTGTCAGTACTTAAATTTTCTAATGCATCTTGCAGTTGTTGTCTAGCATTCACAGATGTAAAGTGAGCAAATCACCAGGAAAAATGGTTCACTACTCCCCACCGCTTTTAAAACAGAATTAATGAAATGCATAGAAACACTTTGAACATAGAAACACTTTGAGCACAGAAACATTTCGGAACACTCACAGCACACTATGAATGTTAAACTCTACTGTACCTAAAAACAAAATCAGGACATTTGTGAAGGAAGAAAAGAATCTATGAAGAGTTTTAAACCTAAAATACTACGTCCAGCGGGGACAATCCCTGAGCCGAGGGACAGTGCTAGCAGAAGCAGCGGCGTGTTTACCCCGTGGTTACGCTCCCCCGGCAGCTGCCATCAGCCGCCAGTAGATGCACGGCACTGGAGTGTATGTGCGTTTAGCCAAGTTCTGCTTCTGGAGATACACAAGGATGTTCTCGAGGAGATGGCCATGCTGCCGGTGAACCCTGCCGAAGGGACGGACGGGCGTCCAGGGACTCAGGAGAGCACAAGGACCACCGAGAGCAAAGGGCAGCGAGAGGAAGGGAAGGCGGCTCTGGCAACGCGCCTCGGGAGAGCGGCGAAAGCTCAGCCGCGGTGAGTGGCAGCGCACGGACGTAGTATTTTAGGTTTAAAACTCTTCATAGATTCTTTTCTTCCTTCACAAATGTCCTGATTTTGTTT